GTATACAGATTTTTGGTAAATGGATTTTTTTCATTTTCCCCCATACGAGAAAGCGTTTTAGGGGGAACCCGGGGGTAAAAGCGTTAAACTTTTGTGCCCTTTTGTTGGGATCCCAATATTGACATAATCGGCAAAATTTAGCTTGTTTCTACGATTTTTATAGGTCAAATCTATCTGACGACTGTAGTAAATTCGTTCTATAAATAAAATTCTATACACTGTGTGTCAACCAAATGGAATAAATTAGCTAATAAATAAATGAGGGAGTATTCGGAAAAACGGTCGAACACGTCGATTAGTATTTATAGTTGCGCATTTTTTCCATAAAACTTTTTTATACGGGGTTTATCAGACAACGGTGACCAATACCAACTTTCTTATTTTAAATGGAACACCCTGTATATTAATTAATTTTTAGATTTCTCAGATCATTTTAGACATTTTTTAAATACAATATCTTATACCTTTCGTTGACTGTTTCGGAAATATTAAATAAAATGCAAAAATTCACATTTAGAAAAGCAAAATATTTATTTGTTGAAAGTCGCTACCACTGTCTTAATATTTCTTGCCTATTTAGGTCTTGGTAATGATACAGTAAACAAAAACTATTCAGGCATTCCTTTTTACTGATATGTAAAAAAACAAAATTTTTTACTTTGGTTTAAAACGCCAATGTTTTATTGTTCCATGACAGAAGTAGTAGTCAATGGAATAGTCGTTTGGATGTCATTAACCACAAGCCAGAAAAATGGTTCATTTACAGAAATGCACAAAATTACAATTATACACATGATTGGCTATGAAGATAAGACACAGACGTAAATGGAAGTAGCTCGTTTATGTCACAAAGCATTTCCTGATTTGCCGCACATATCTCAAGAGACAATTAGTAAAATAGAGAAGAAATTCCACCAGCTGGGCCATGTAAAAAAAGAAGCTGATAATTCAATAAGTGAGGATACCAAATTGGCTGTTATGCTTGAGTTTGAGGAACACCCACATACATCTATTCGAAAAGCAGCCTCAGTACTCGGTATTAGCTACTCATCGGTTATTCGAATATTACAATGAAACAAAATGCATGACTATAAAATTATACACACTCAGAAGCTCACGAAAAATGATTTTGACAGGAGAACTTATTTTTGTGAACAAATGATAGAAATGTTAGAGAGCAATGTGATCCAATTAGAACATGTTTTCTTTTCTAATGAGTGAACTTTTACTCTTCATGGTCATGCTAATCGGAAAAATTTCCGATATTCGTCCAGGAAAAATCCTCACTGAATGAGAAAAGGCAATACTCAATACCCTGAGAAGGTTACCCTGTGGTCAGGAATTATTGAAGATCAGATCATAAGTCCCTTTTTCATAGATGCCAATTTGAATGGCAACAATTATTTAGCATGGCTCCAAAATGTAGTGCCAACGTTGGCCAACTTGTATCCTGATCCAGGAAACTCACAAGTTCCAGCGAATATTATATGGTTTCAACAAGATGGAGCACCACCCCACTACCAAATCTATGTTCGGCAGTACGTCAACTAAATATTTCCAAATCGGTGGATAGGGAGGCGAGGATCGATGGAATGGCCAACACAATCCCCCGATTTGACGCCATTAGACTTTTTCTTATGGTTATATGTGAAAAGTATTGTATACAAAACTAAACTCACTGACTTAGCTGACTTATGAAGACGGATAACGCTTGCGATTAAATCGATCTAATCTGAGATGTTGATTAACGTTAGAAGAAATTCTATTCACGGTTAGAGTGTTACCAAGACGTTCGTGGGAGGCATTTTGAACATCTGCTACATTGACATTATTGTTTAGATGTGAATTCTTGCATTTTACTTAATATTTTCGAAACAGTCAAAGATAGGTATAGGATATTGGATTCAAAAATGAGCTGAGGAATCTAAAAATTAATTAATATACAGGGTGTTCTATTTCAAGTAAGCAAGTTGGTATTGGCCACCGTTATCTGATACACCCCGTATAAATTTTTTTTATGGAAAAATATGCTCAACTATTTATACTAATTAACGTGTTCGACCGTTTTTTCGAATACTTCTTCATTTATTTATTAGCTAATTTATTCCAATTGGCTGACACACAGTATATATATATATATATATATATATATATATATATATATATATATATATATATATATATATATATATATATATAAGAAAAAAGAAGTACGTGTGATTCGTTTGGAAAAAATATAAAACTGTTTTGGATGGGTTGACGCCAATAAAAGGGGCTTTACTCGAGCTTTCAATTGGGTTTACAATTATTATCAAAAGCTGCTAAAAAATACAAAATATCTTACAAAGTTGAACATTAGTTTAGTATATAAAAATGCTGCTAACATATTTCAAAAAATATTATATTAATTATTATAAATATGTTCTAATCTAATAAATGCTTCTCTGAAATTTTAATATAATTTTGAAAAAGTTTCTTAACACAAAAACGATAATTGAATTTATAAATAAATTTGAATAGTGACAATTACAATTAAGCCTCAATGTCATAAATCCCAACTTAAAATTTTTATTTTTAACAATTACATTGCCAAAAATAAAATTTTGTTTAAAAACTGTTTTTTGTTACTAAACAAAAAAAAAATTTAACAAAATCCCATTTCAAAAATAAAAACTTTTAAGTTTATTTTAAAAAGATTTATTCACCATTGATAGATGCCTGAAAAAATATACCAAATAATATATGAAAAATTAAATCAAAATGTAATATTTTACTGGTTTCATATATAAACTACGTAGAAATAATATAATTACTTACATATTTTGCTTAGATTTTGAATTTTTGAATATATATATATATATATATATATATATATATATATATATATATATATATATATATACAGTATTGGAAGATTTAAAACGGAACATACAGATTATTAATACAATTAGTAAGATCCCCTGACCTGCATTTACCCAGTGTAAATTTCAATATAACGTCGCTATGTCTTATAATTAATTCATCTGTTCGACTGGATTGCTACTCCTTCGCGATTTCTAGTAGCGTATTCGGCAGGTGTACGTCGACACTGTTGTCTATCGTCCACTGATTTTCTGTGTTTTTGTGCAGATAATAACAATGTTTTATTAATAACAATTTTTTTGTGTTCATTAGATATTATTTGAATTGGTTAGTGTATAGTTTAATATATTTATTATTCCAAATATTGTTGATAACTTAAAATTTAAAAGGATGTATATGATACATCAAAATCTACAGATTTTTGCCGAAGGTATCTACCGATTTGACAACAGTCCCAAGGAACATCACTGGCCGAGCAAAATAAATACATGCCCTTTGCTTTGTGTTTGGTAAGGTGCGCACGTGCGCAGCAGTCGAAAAATATTCCAGAGTCCAGTCGAACAAATGAATTAATTATAAGACATCGCGACGTTATATTGAAATTTACACTGGGTAATTGCAGGTCAGAGGATCTTACTAATTGTATTAATAATCCGTATGTTCCGTTTTAAATCTTCCAATACTGTATATATATATCTATATATATATATATATATATATATATATATATATATATATATATATATATATATATATATATATATATATATATATATATATATATATAGATATAACATAATATTGTAACACAGTTAATAACAGGATCATTTACGGACACAATAAAAGAGGAAACTAATCCTGTAACGGCCGACTCGGTTTCCGAAAAGTTTACTTAATTAAAGGACCAGGAAGCCAAAGGATCCGTTATCTACTAAATTTGTAAGTGACTTTCGCTATCAACAGCAGGACTCATTAGACCGGCGGTTAACGTGGATACGACGGCGATGATGTAACATTAACAAAGGAGGGAGACCGTGTGTTTCGTTATTTAATTTTATGGAAAACGAGTTGTTCTTTGGAAAATTTTTAGTGAGTTTAGGAGTTTAAATAGTGAGAAGATTAAAAATTGTTCATACATTATTTATAGAGACGGGCATCGGATATATGTATACCGTTATATGTATATATATATATATATATATATATATATATATATATATATATATATATATATATACACGTATATATAGGCCTGCCGAGAGGGCGGTAGAGTCAGACGATTTTACCGAGGCCCGGCGATGTAGTCCGGCGTCGACCAAAACGTAATGTTTCCCGTTTTTTTCCTTTCACTTTTAAAATAATTAACAAAATTATTCTTTATTATGGTTAATTGTATTTGTATACTTATAATCTAAATAAAAAATTTCAAAATTGTAATTTCTTTTTTTAATAATTTTCTTTTTATTTTTAAATGCATATTTACAATCTACCTACTCATAAACAGTACATTGAGTAATTAGTAAATGTGATCACAATATTGACTTGATTTGGGTAACGTTAAGCGACAGTTCTCCATTTTTGTCTACGTAACCAGGTCTTCTGGTCAAGTTTCCTCTTCGTTCCTCCATTGGTGGCTGATATAAATCGCTGATAATTTGGCCATGGTGCGTTGAATTAAGAATTTTGGCATTGATGGCGTGAAGTGAAATGGCATCTTTTACGGTTAGTGCTCCTAGGTTATTGTTGGTGGTTGCATTGCTCACATACCAAGGGACGTTAGTTATCATACGCAGTGTTTTACGCAAACCGCAACCCCAGAGTTTTACGCCGTAAGTCCATATTGGTTTCCTTCTTCTTTAAGTTCTATCTCCGCGGCGGAGGTCGGCAATCATCATAGCTATTCGGACTTTTGAGACAGCTGCTCTGAAAAGTTCATTTGATGTACCTACATGCGTTCCGAGAGTACAAACAACTCCCACAGGTTGCGCAGCCATGACATTCTACGCCTCCCTATGCTTTTTTTTCCTTGGATCTTTTCCTGCATATACAGTTAAAGCAAGGTGTATTTCTCTCCACGTGTAATATGTTCGAGATATTCTAATTTTCTTGTTTTAATTGTATTTAAAATTTCCATTTCTTTATTCATCCTTCTCAGAACCTCTTTGTTTGTGACGTGTTCTGTCCACGATATTTTCAGAATTCTTCTATACACCCGCAGCTCGAATAATTACAGTTTTTTCATTTATGTTGCATTCAAGGTCCAAGATTCCATTCCATAAAATAAAATCGAAGAAACATAGCACCTCGCTAACCTAACTGTTAGTTCCAGTTTTAAATCCCTGGTACATAGAACTCTTCTCATTTTGTTGAAATTTGCTCTAGCCTTTTCTATTCTGATTGTGATTTCGTGAATGTAATCATTCATATATATATATATATATATATATATATATATATATATATATATATATGCCGGTTTAGAACGTCCTTCTCCGTTGTCCGACACCTACCTTCCATCCTCTTCTATCGTGGCAATCTTCCGTTGATAGATTCCATTCGCTCATTGACTTTTTTATGTTTTGCTGCCACTCTAATTTGGGTCTTACTTGCTTTCTATTCCCTATTGGGGTCCAGTTCAGTATTTTTTTGCGCCATCTAGTATTTTGCATTTGCTCTACGTGTCCGTACCAGGTAAGTTGTTTCTTTTCGATATCCTGAATTATCGTACCTTCTATTCCCATTCGTTGTTTTATATGGTCATTCCTCATTCTTTCTCTTCGTGAGACCCGCCTAGATCTTCTTATCGCGTCCATTTCGACTGCCTCTACCTTATTTTTTTGTCTGCCTGGAATTCTCCATGTATTACATTCTCCTGAATGTAATCATTTGTGGAGTTAATCATTGTTCCCAGATATGCATATTTGTCCACTTGTTCGACGTTGGTTCTGTTTATTAAAAGATTCTTGTTACTTCTTCGAGTTTTCGATATTCTCATAAATTTCGTCTTCTTGACATTCATTGTTAGACCATACTCTTTTCCATACGCTATTCTGGTCACTAGTCTCTGAAGATCTTCAATGTTTTTAGCTAAACTGCATTTATCTTTATTCCAAGTGTTTCACCCTCAAGAGCATTTTTCAGGATCTCTTCGGAAGAGGCATTAAAAAGAATTGGCGACATATTGATTTTAGTATGACTTATATTAACTATAAATGACAGTTGTGACTTTCTGCTAAGTAACTAATTCATTTATTTTAATTTTATAATGAGCTGAGTTTTTTTGGCGTCAATGTGTACCTTCCAGGTGAACTTCAAGATATTCCACCACGTGTAGATTAACTTGTAGACAAGTGCGTCTTCTTATTGTAAATGTGATTTGGGCTGATTTTTCGTTATTGACTATAATTTTTCAACCAATTCTCTAATTATGCAAGTAATTTTGCAGCTTTTCAGATGCTGTGTCTGGGTCTTTGTTTGAAACTATAACAGCTATAATTTCATCAGCAAAAGTCGCCACTGTGACGTCATTTGTAATAAGTATAATAGCAGTAAATATTATGTACAGGAAGGGATGGAGGACACTTCCTTGAGGAATTCTAGATTGGATTGACTGATAGGTTGAGCAATGATTATTGATTTTTACATGGAACGAACATTCTTTAATATAGGACTTAAGAATAACATATATATTACTAGGCAGTAAAGATTTTAATTTATATAGCAAACCGTTGTGTCAGACTTTACTAAACATTTTTTCTTTCAAACTTTTTTAATTTTATTTACTATTCTATGATACTGTAGTATATTGTTGAATATTTTTGACGGAAACTACACTGGTGTTCGGGTATTAGGTTTTTGAGTGATACAGTTTCGCTTATTCTATTTAGCAAAAAAAAATTACTACCGAAAATCATAACCAACCGCCTGACACATAAGCTCGATTTCTATTAACCTATCGAGCAGGCTGGATTCAGAAAACATTTTAATACCATAGACCACTTGCACACCGAAAGAACACTGATAGAAAAATGCACCGAGTATAATATTTCAATTCATATGGCGTTCGTCGATTTCCATAAAGCATTCGATTCCATCGAATTATGGGCAGTGCTTGAATCTCTAGAAAATGCACGCATAGATTCAAGATACATTAACATAATTAAAAACATATATGAAAATGCCACCATGCATATAAAGCTGGACGAAAGCACAAAAACTAATCCCATAAGACTACAACGGGGAGTAAGACAAGGAGACACCATTTCTCCCAAACTATTTACCCTTGCTCTAGAAGATATTTTTAAAAAACTGGAATGGAACAATAAGGGTATCAACCTCGACAGATCATACTTAAACCACTTGAGATGACATAGTTTTAATAGCCGATAATATCCAAGAACTAAATGATATGTTACAACAATTAAATGCAGTTTCAGGAGCGGTAGGCTTAAAAATGAATTACAGCAAAACAAAAATACTGAGCCGAGACCAGACAAGTGTAACAATACAAAATCATACCATATAAAATGTGGAACATTATGTATATCTAGGTCATGTTATCAAACTAGGAAAACCAAATCAAGATGATGAAATTAAAAGAAGAATACAACTGGCTTGGGGCGCTTTCGGCAAACTAGCACATATCTTGAAAAACACCTCCATTCCTATAAACTTAAAGAAAAAGGTGTATAACACATGCATACTACCTGTTTGTACCGACGGCTTGGAGACAGTAGCACTTACCAAAAAATCTGCCAAAAAATTAGAAACAACGCAAAGAGCAATGGAACGAATCATGCTTGGAATATCACTAAGAGACAAGATTAGAAACACCGAGATAAGACTTAGAACGAAGATTAGGGATATTGTGGAAGAAATTACAAAAATGAAATGGGGCTGGGCAGGTCACGTAGCCCGATATAATGACAACAGGTGGACACGGAGAATTCTAGAATGGAGACCAAGGACGACAACAAGAAGGATGGGAAGACCTCAAAAAAGATGGGTAGATGACATAAGAGCAGTGGTAGGCAAACAGTGGATTAGATTGGCGCAAGATAGAGAAAGATGGAAGCAATTGGGAGAGACCTACATTCAGGAGTGGATGGAAAATGGTTGACAAAGAAGAAGATTTAGCAAGAGTCTTTCAAATATTTTGAACATCAAGGGTAACAATCGTATCGGACGATACGAAGAAGGTCCTTTAGGCAATTTACCTGGCTTTCCGATCGCTATAATATGAGCATATTTCCACTGGATTGGGAAATGGCTTAACTGCAGCATTATTTTGTAGATAATAGTAAACATAAAAACTGCTCTCCTGGGTAGATGTTTTAGGATTCTGCCATCGAATAAATTCTATCCTGAGGCTTTGTGAGAGTTGGTAATCATTATCATTCTGCGAACCTCGAATGGGTAGAATGCTTTTAATGTAGGTGATAGTTGGCAAGGTGTCTAGATATTCGCTTACTACACCATCGTTTATGTTTTGATCCAAATTTGGAGTAAATATATTTTCAAAATATTCTGCAAATATATTAGTTTTTTTATCGTCAGTCTGCCTCCAACTTCTATCAGGTTTTCTTATTGGAGGAATTGGTAGTGTCGGTTTGTTGAATTTTTTAGTTGCTCTTAATATATAGTGCAGAGATATCTCATTTGGAGATAGATTAATAATATAAAAATTGAAGGTGTTATTAGAAACTTGATTTAGCGCTGACGTTATCTGGTGTGTTAGTCTATTTAGACCTTTGCCCTTTTGCCGCGCCCTTTGTTTTTGGGTTAGAATTTATTTGTTTGATATGTAATGGCACATTGTTGTCTTCATGATTATCCTTCTTACTTATAGTAGTAGATTCACAAGCAGCGTTTTGTATTACAATCGTTAGCTTTTTTACTGCAAATTTCAGCTCATCAGATTCTTTTCTTCGATCTAACGTTATATTCTGGTTAATGGTGTTTTCAAATTGTTTCCAGTTTGTTTCTTTTCAGAGACTCTTAGTGGCTGTTGATTGTATATTATATTTGTGATTAATGTTATTATTATGGTGCTATAGTCCAAACTTAGGTGAAAATTAGGCTCTATTTTTGAATACGTGTTAGGTAGACCTTTAAATATTGGAAAAGCTAAAACATCCTAAATTTGGTTGATATCTGCTGGCCAGTATGTTGGTTGCCCTGTAGATTTTAATAAATTAAATTTTAAAAAAAGCCTCTACATATGTCTTACATTACGTTACGATTTCCTTTTTATATTTGTTCTTCACTTGCTTCATTTCCGATACCTTTACCGGAAATAACCTTAACTTATTCGAATTAAATGGGAAACCCTATATATTATATTTTTTACAGATTTTAAAGTACTTGGTAGTTCTAATTTATACATAAGACATTTGGTAGAAAAATTGGTTAAAACGAGAAATTTACGGCAATTATTTAATATAATAATAAATGATTATAATATTACAATATATAATTGTTATATTAGAAAATATGTCAACAAATAAACACTTTAAACAGTGTAGAATACCAAAACGTCGTTATCGAATTGAGAATCTAATTTGAAATTTCAAAATAATTAGGTTTTCTTCTTAACCGCCCTCGCAAAATGCATTTCGTCATGAACAAACGAGCTCAAAAAGTTTTAAAGGTCAATAGCTCGCTATTGCAACGATGCCGGAAAATTTTTAATTTTATGTGTATACTATATCTCGGTTAATTGAGAATAACTGCTCGTTGTCTAAATTGCGTTGCACAAAGTGCTTTTCTTCATTAACGATATTGTTTAGCGAGGATATTTTGTCGATAAACGATGCATTAGACCCAAGTTTCCCAGGAACTAAATATTTTTTAACTTAATAATGCTTTATTCGGTCAAGCTGATAATCACATTGTCATGATCATTTCTCTCGTTGTATCTGTGTGATTAAAATTATTCATTTAAATTTTAACTACAGATACCGGACTAATAACTTTAGTAGATCGTTATAAGAGACATTAGAATCAGGTATAAGCGAATTAGTTTAATTATAGTCAAGGAAAACGTTTGTAGCTAAATTCTACCCTAGCTATTTAAGGAAGACACAAAACTGTTAACAAAGGCAACTTTTTTTGTATGTTTATGCTAGATAAAGTATAGTGATTTTTCGATGGATGTTAAAGATCTTCTTTGGATTTATTTGCTATAACTTTAACACTTGACTATCAGTTTTTCCAAGCTTTTAGCCGAGGCAATAAGGCAATAAACCAATCAAATTTTTGCAATTGGATGGATCTCAATAAAACTTATTACGTTCGTTTGTTGAGTGTCAGGATATTTTTTTAACAAAAATGATGAGGAACACAAGACGAATGAGGATAACAAGAAATAAAAATTGCATTATTGATCAAGGAAAATGCATTTTGCCAAGTATATTGGGACTTTGGACATAAATTCTCCTGATGTAATATATCCTTTGTAGCCCTTTGCATATAAAATCTCCTTAGCATCGAAGTACTACTAATCATACACGTCTGTCACACAAAGTACATGGTCTATCTGGTTACGAGTAGTTCCCTCATTTGAGATCCACGTAACTTTATGAATATTTTTTCTTTGGAACTGGTAGTTTTTCATACCATACTGTCAGCTACAGCAAATTCTGCTAATCGTAGACCATTATTGTTAGTGATATCGTGTAACCTATGGGTGCCAATCACGAATTTTAAATGCTCTTCTTTGCCCATTTTTACATTGAAATCACCCAATACGATATTAAAGTCTGTATTTGGGTGCTGACGCCAAATATTGTTTCAAAAATTCATAGAATATATATTTGTTCTCTGCATCAGCTTCTGTAGTTGGTATAAGAGTTGGATTTGCCCTCTTTTTCTTTAGTCTTAAAGAGTACATGCGTTTGTTTA